TAGTCATTGCCTGAAGAGTAAACAATTACAAAATGGTTACAATGGGAACTTTGTAATGGATAGAAGAAGCATTGTGCGTCTATCCAACAGGGTCATTGGCCATAAGACTTCTTCAGTGGTAAGTAGAATAGTTCCAGGACTGTGTTCATTCTGTGTAAGAACAAAATGCAGTATCTTTCCTGTGACTTCCAGCCAAACAAAAGACAGGCATATGAGTTGAACATTTATACTAGGTAGATACTATCTTTGGAGAGAACAATCATGGGAGAACAGAAGGGCTGTGTATGCACAGGGAGACAGCTCAGAGGGCAGCAGTGCATGCAGGGATGGACACAGGAAAGAAGTAACAATGGGGAGGAAGTGGGAGGGGAGCTGTTGCATTGTGGGAAATTGTAGTCAATGTCAAGAGACAAAGTGTATGTGAACTGCTGTATGGAGAGTGAATTTGCTCTGTAAACTTTTACCCAAACTACAATGAAAATTAAAAAAAAAAAAAAAGCAGTATATCTCTCTTTCTTCCATGTCTACCCCTACCCCACCAAATCCTATTTTCTGAAAATATTATTTATGAGTTTCACTGCTGATTTTACCAAGCTAGCAACAGGAATAGGAAAGATCAGGGGAAATAGCATAGAGAAAACAATTCTGAATCAATTCTTTCAAAATATATTTTCAAAATTAAGTTATAAATCTCTGGTGCCTTGCTACTTATTGAGGTACTAGAAAATAGGCATTCTAAAGGAGGGTTTGTGACATGCAGAGGAGAGCAGCCAAGTCATTGATTTATTCAGGCATTATTCTATCATTCATCACTTTTCGCCTAGAAAAGAAACTCAGTGAGGTCAGGGACTTGCTGCTTTATCTTCTTTCTCTAGGTCAGAATGTGGTGCATAATAATTATGTGAAAATATGATTGGAACTCAATAAATATTTATGAAATAATTCAATAAGTGAGCAAATAGACTGAACACTTAGTATGTCTTCATAGACTGAATACTTCTTATGCCACCATGAGTGGCATTATAGGCTGTCAGCCCCATTCTTGTCCACATGGAGGTTTAAAACTAGCTAGGGAATTAGATACACTCTATAAGAGAGATTATTCAAACAGCAGTGGATATGGATAGCAAAGGACATTTCAAAGAGGAGTTGGTCAGAACGGAAGGATTTCCCCAATTGAAGGCATGAAAGCATATTCCATATGGAGTTCGGAGTATGAACAAAGGTATGGTGGTAGCAAGAGGCATAACAATGAGCTACATAGTTCATTGAACTCTCATGCTGTTCAATAAACATTAACTGGTAAAGTCTGGATTTGAACCCAGGCCTTTGAATCTCGGAAGATCCAGCCTGTGATTCCAATGTCTAGATTAAATTCAGTGAGTGTTCATTAGTGTACTTGTAGCTTGCATGTAAGGTTAGATATTGGGGAAGAGAAGAGGGATAAGGCTGAAAACTCCAGATTTTAAACGGTGGAGTGAAGAAGAGGGCTACATTTTTTTCCTAATTTTGAATTTAAGCACAAAAAGCATTTTTATGCTTAAAATATAATAAAGTTCTTTGTATGGGATATCTAGGTAGAGGTTAGAGAGAATAATTGACAAAAAAAAATTCACACTGATTATATATTTACAAATATTATGTATTGCCCTTTTGAATATGTTTACTTTAATAAATGCATATTTTTAAATCCTGGGCTTTTAGTAATTTGAACTGTTTTAAACAGAATTCCTTTTTAGAAATATTATTCAGCTGAAATGAGTTGTAATTTTTTTTTCTGACCTATAGGAAGCCTTGTTTTTTAGAACATATATGCAATTAATTTAGTTGAAAAAATAAAACATACATCTCTCCAACAATTAAGAAAGATTGCAAACTAATGAATGAAAATACACAGCAAAGAGATATGTATTTTTAAGGGTGGAAGAAGATAGGAAGTGATGAAATGTTCCAAATGAGTAGCAGTGTTTATAAATTCTGTGTAGTGTGAATTTGATGGACAGCTGAGACTTGCATGAACAAGTTTTAATAGTAGTGTGAAGCCATTTCAGTAATAGAATGATTTCCCCCCTTGAATTTTTGGTTAAAAGAGGTTGATTTTCAGAGGGCAGCTGCTATCAACACCACAATTAAAAAGCAGTACTGTCTTCTCATTTGCGGTGTGGGGACAAACACATAGATCCAGACCCTGAGCTAGTTTATTAGAGGTAAGAAAACTAGTCTAAAACAGAATATTTACATTCATCTCTTGCTACTTCCAGCAGCTAAATGTACGGAAGAGAATCATAAAGGTAATGGAATTATCAAATGACAGAGCTAAAGTGGGCCCTAGTGATTACAGGGGGAGCTCTGGTGGTGTCATCCCTAAGGCATTTGACTGCTAACCAGGGGGGCTGGTGGTTCAAACCCACCAGTGACGCCTTGGAAGGAAGGTTTGGCAATCTACTTCCACAGTGATACTGCCTTGGAAACTCAAGGAGGGGTCGCTTTGAGTCGGATCTGACTCATTGGCAGTGTTTGGTTTGGTTTTAGTTTAGTGATTGGTGGCTACTTCTAGTTTAGTTTGCCAATGGGCAAAGAAAAACCCAGAGAAATTTCATGATTTTCCTAATGCCACTCAGTAAGTGTACCAAAACTAGTAATAAGAAGTTAGGGAAGCTAGGGCATAAAATTGTCTACAATATTGATTACAAAGCAGGGAAAGGAATTAAGAATCATCAACTTTCAGCCCTGTCTTTTCTTTTGGGTTGCCCACAGAGAAATGTAATGCTTAATGTTTTATGCTAAAACAATACATAAAATATCCTGCTTTCAAGCAGATACATTGGAGAATGAATTGTTTGGTTGCTTTGCCCAAACATTCAATGTCCGATTCTTTATAGAGAGAATTTCCTCCATATTTAAGGTGGATTCACTTTTAATAAATCCTTTGCAACTTTTCAAGAACACATGTGCTCAACGTACTTGAACAACGCATACTGTTTGTGACCATTGTATTAAAATATTCAAAAGATTCAACAATTATTTCATACTCTTGAAAATGAGTAACTTATAAGAATAGAAAAGGGCAAGGGGAAGGGAGAGAGAGAGAAAGAGAGAGAGAGATTGACTTATCTTGATATTTCAATAAGCCTCCTATGTTGCTGATGTTTTACTGTTTGTCGAGCACTTTCATGTACACTATATCCTGGAAGTTTCACCACACAACTGTGAGTTATTATCACCAATTTATAATGGAAAAACTGAGGCTGACAGAGGCTAGGGGACTTGTTTAAGATGCTGAGGGACAGATCAGCTGACTCTCAGATGTGAGTTCCCCTAATTGATGCTCCCAGACCACTAGCATTAGCCAGAAAGGTGGTGTTTGGAGGTTTTTGACCAAGAATCCCCAGAGAACTAAATCTTCACCCCGATCAAAAGAATAAGTGGGTTCTACTAGCAAGAATCTTAATAGATACCTTGGGAAAAATTCTCAGTATAACTCTTTTCTCATCCCTAAAGATAAGCCTGCCATGTTTTTTTGAAGCTATGAACGGATTTGATAGGGGAATAGAAAATTTGGTTACAAGGATAAGTCATCTCTCCTCTCTCCATCTTTTCCATAATTATCTCCATTTTGGGATCAACAGTTTTTGGGTTTGGCATCCTTGTACAAAATAATCCAGGCTTTAGTTGTTCTTGTTTTTATGTTAAATGTCTTTATGAAAATAAATGAACACTCCATAGCTCACTGTTCTACCTTGATTTTAATTTCATCAGCCCAGGTCTTTCTTCCAAGGGCCCCCTGGATAGACTTGAACTTCCATAGTTTCTGGTGGCTGAGAACTTGTTTGCCCACCTAAACAACAAAGGTAACCTAATTGCACCTACATTCTCTGAGTTGCAAAGAACCAGCACTCTTGGAGTCCATGCTTATGCATTCCCAATCAATCACGCCAGCACTGGCCTCATCATCGTTGTCAAACTTGGTTTCTCTCCTTTTTCTCATGTGAGAGCGGGTGGACCAAGACAGCTTTTTGGAGGCTCAAAGAATGATTTTTCTCTGAGAGAGGCACATCTCCCTAGTCTGCCAAGGAATGAAAATTCAGACAATCACACGGATCATTTTGAATGGTGCCAAATAAATTCCACCAAATGCTACTGCCAATGACGACAACATGTCACTGGGATATGTGGTGATTTTTTTTTCCCCCTTAGTATCAGGCTTGAGCCTTCTCCTGAGTGCAAGAAAAATGACAGAAGGGCCATACACAGCTTTAGCTATAGAAATAACATAGAATTTTCATGATTGATCCTTAACTGAAATGTCTGGACACTTGGAAACTACTCCAAAGATTAGACAAAGTCGTGAATACAGACCACCATTTTGTCATAAGCAGGACTGTGAGCTCAGACGAGGAAATATGTAACCTGTTGCAGCTTACAAAAAAGAAAGTGCCTTGGTAGGAATTTTAAGTCCTGAACGCCAGCACCACAGTCTGCTTCTAAGCAGGGGTTAGCATCCCAAAGTCTACTAGGATTTGGGGTTCAACCACAAGACTGTCTTTACACAAACAGGACCTGAAAGTCACACCAAACGGCAGAGCAAGACCTTGGGCAAAGCAGCTGAGTGGACCAAGTTATTTTGTGCTGTGTTTTTAAAATAAAAGAATAATAATAAGAAGCCAAGGAAAGCTTGGCTACCAAATTTGGCGTGGAAAGGAAGACACGCCAAGGACGACTAAGCGGGGAGGTGGGAACAGGAGGGAGGAGAGAGCGGAGAGAGCTCGGCGCGGACGTCAGGAACAAAAGCTCTGGCAGAGTCTGGCGGAGGCACTCGGGGAGCATAGGGTGTTTTGAATAATTATTGAAATTAGCATGTGTCTGCGCCATCCTGTGGGTGTGGCGCGGAGCAGAGTGTAAACTCTAGCGAGGCTGGAGCAAACATTGGATTAGCGGCAGCAGCCTGCCAGCCAGCCCTAGGAGTGCGGGGACCCGCGCGCTGCACGCCGACCGGCACTATGGCCTCTTCTCAAGGGAAGCAGGAGCTGAAATTCGCCGACTGGATGGCAACTCTGCCCGAGAGTATCCACAGCATCCCCCTCACTAATTTAGCCATCCCAGGTAGGCGCGCGGAGGCTGCCGGCGGGGCGCTCCGCTGGCTCGCACTCCACCTGCCCCTCCCTGCCTTCTCTGCCACTAAGTGGGAACTTGCCACCGCACCTGCGGGAGGGAAACTCATCTCCAGGGTGGGTCTCGGGTCGGGCGAGTGTTTGCCCCCGGTGGCCCGGCGTCAAGGTGATTGCCTTCCTCCTTCCCGGCTTTGGAAGCAGGCTGTAAGCGCAGGGCTGGGGCATGCGAGAGGCTCGGGTCTTGTGTGGTGCCTCGCGCCCCCTCCCACGATTTTCACCATAGATTTTGGGGATGCAAGGTGATTTCTGGGTCTGTAGGGTGGCGGTGCGTGGTGAGCTCAGGCTAGTGTCCTGGGGGCTCGTCTCTGGCGAGTGAACGCGGGCTCCATCCCTGGCAGGGAATTGAGTGGATTTGGTAGATTTCTTTGTGAAACCTAGTCGAGACATTAATATTAGTCCCCAATATCCTCTAAAAAAGACAAAGCGCTTTCCGAAGAGTGATGAAAGTTCAGGGACAGGGGGCGGCGCGATCACTGCCCTTGACCGAGAGCGGAAGGGGGCGCGGGGAAGAGGGCAGCTCTGTGGTCTGCATGGCCCCGGAGGGCCTGGCGGTGTGAGCACCACCGGAGCCCGGCCGGAGTGCGTGATAGCGACGAGTAGCGCCCGGGTTAGGAAAGCAAGCCCTTTGCGGCACGATGTGTTGGCTTCTCAGGACAGAAACCGAACAGGGGAACCTGTGCGAGCAGAGGCAGAGGAGTGGGAGAAGGGATTGCGCTGGTGTCCAAATAACCTACAAGGGAGGAAGGAAGCCTGGGCAAATCGAGGAAGAGAACGAGGTTTCAAGAGACTTCAGCATGACGCGCACGCACGTCTTGGACCAAAGGACTGGGGAGGTTTCTGGGGCGGGAGCGCGCTATGGCCTCTGTCTCAGGTTTCTGGAGGAAGGGTCGTTTCAGGGCAGCCTACGACGGTGACAATTGTTGACAGAGCCATACCTCGCTACCGATTTGTCTGTGCGCTTGGGCTGAGGGAGCAGACACCAGATCCTTCTAGGACCGGGTTGGAGGGCAAATTACTGATTGGTAACCCACCTTCTCCACGATCTGAGCCTGGTTATCAAGTTCGACCTCCTGGTCTGATTCTTTTTGATCTCGCCCTTACCAGCTCCCCCTCTCAGCTACCGTGGAAAACAGAACCAGAAGCGCCGGACTTGATCAGTAACTCAAATCAATGGTCGGTCGTTAGTCAGTTGAACGCTTGGCAACGACCTGAGGCACTGGCCGCCCCCTGAGCGCAGTCCCTGGGAGAGTTTGTTTCCTTTTGCCTTTCTTCAAGAGGTAGATTCCCAAGGGCCCAGGGATCTCCAAGGAAAAGAATAGGCCAGCTTCTCCACTCTGCCCTTGCCCTGCTACAGGGTAAACTGGGGATTGCTCTGTTGAAGGAGACATTGGAAAGCACACAACTTTGTTGGCAAAATTCCATTCTCACTTCCATAGGTGTTCCCATCCTCTAGTCTTCATTCGTTTGTATTTCATTTGTAGACAGCTACTTTCACATGCTATCATCTGAGCATTTGTGCGCACACAGAAGGTAAGAAGGGCAGATGGCATTGCCAGCCTTCTGCTAGGTGACTCTAGGGACGCAGGGTGTTCAAAAGGCCTGTGTTCTCATAGCTAGTTCTGAGATGTATACTGTGTCTGAGTTTACCTTACTTTTCTATAACACTTCACCATTTTTTTTTTTTTTACTGTGGTTAAACTGTATGTAACAAATTGTTTCCCTTTTCAGCATTCTTTACATGTGCAATTCACTGTGACATTACCAAAACCAAACCAAACTCACTGCAGTCGAGACCCCTCCTTAGATTTCTGGGGTGATATCACTATGGAAGTAGATTACTCAATCTTCCTTCCATGGAGTGGCTGGTGGGTTTGAACCACCAACCTTCTGGTTAGCAATCAAAAGCCTTAGGCACTACACCACGTTAGTTAGTTATGTTTGTAATGTTGTTCAACCATTACCATTATCTGTTTCCAAATTCTCCCATCATTCTTAACAGAAGTTCCCTGTCCCCTAAGCAGTGAGTGCTCCCTTTCCCCTCCCTCCCACTCGCACCTGGTAACCACTTATAAACTTTGGTCTTTATACTTGCCAATATTATATATTTTGTGTAAGTAGACTAAAGCACTGCTAGGTACACTGACTGGCTCATGGCTCATGCAATTCTTCCAAAAATCCTGTGAAGCAGTCAGTGCTGATATGGTTATCTCCAATTTACAGATGAAAAAGCTGCACTTAGTCAGGCAAATGCCCTTCAGTTTGGTGATCTGACCCCTAAACCAGACCTTAGGAAGGATCTTCTAGGAATTTTTGGAGGGAAAGTCTTTGGGGTTCCTATCTGGATGATTCAGCAACAAGAAGTACTAATCAGGATGAGGGGATAAGGAGGTAGGCATTAGCAAGAGAGGGCAACTTTCCTCTTTTCCCCATGAGATTTGCTATTGACCAAGACCTCTAGTTTCCAAATTGAATATCTGAGGCCAGTGACTTTGGTATTCTGGTAGTCTGAGAGTAGACATAAAGGTGATGGCATCGGGACACCATGGGAATTTTCACTGTCTTCCCAATGACATCTCTAAATATTATACACAAAGTTGATTCCTTGAAAAGCCTCCCTTGCCTACCCCCAACACCTGAGTTAAAAAAGTAAATACGTAACAAATTCACCACCCTTGAATTCCTTCGTGATTCTGTGAAATAGAAATAGATTTGGTAGATCCATACAAACCATTTCAAACTGTGTTTGAAAATGTCTTCTTTGGTACTTCTCTGCATTATTTAACATTGATCATTTTTGGAGGAAAAAAGACAGCCAAACTTCGGTAGTCAGAGAAGACTAATTGGAGACTATTAAATACTAATGGAATAATTGCCTTAAAATCATGCTAATAGCTTCCTGGCTGCTACATGTTTACTAGGCCAGTTGCTGCAGCTTGAATTAAGTAATTATCTCCACCATTTAAAACCACTCCTGGTGCACCACACCAGCATCTCTGTTGAAGGGGAACTGCTGTTAGGTCATTCACAAAGCCTCAGGTTTCCTTAGGTGTAGCACCTGGAAAATGAAGAGCTGCCTAATTATGAGGCCCCACACCACTGGGGTGGCTGACCCAGATCACTCAGTGCTAGCAGAAAGAACAATCTGCAGGTGTGCAATGTCTCCCACCACAGTGCAGTTCTGACATCTCTAAGTAGTTCGTAAATGTCTGTATCCTGAAAGCTTTCAGAACCACATTGATCTTTGATCTTTGACTACTTTATATTTAAATAGCCTCATGATTTGCTATTGACTGGGCTGAGGCATTAAGTTGGTCATTGGTATTAGTTATTTTACTTTCAATTTATTTTTCAAAGCAATGGCACTACCAGAACACATTGACAGTTACTGTGATGCCAGTCTCGTTTATCTTTTCTTCCTCTCTCTGATGGTACCAAACAAAGCTTTCCTTCATATTCCTTTTGTTAACAAGATCCTGGCACTTGGATTATGAAGAATGCTTCTTTTCACCACAGGCAGGTGAGAGAGGATAAACAGAGATGGAGACAGGAAGACAGGGTATACTATTTGGATAAATTTCTATTTTTGAGGCAGAGTTCTAACTCTATCATCACAGTGGCTCCAGAACCATTTTAAAGAGATCCATCATGAGATCAAGCAAAGTGTTGGGTGACCTGGGCAAGATGTTATAATATAAGGTGCTGGCCATCTGGCTGTGTTCAAAAGGTAAATGATGCAAACCTTCTTCATATATTGCAGTAAATGAACCATAAATAATGAAATATATGGCAAAAAATTGTGGGGCTGGAACTTCAGAGAGAGAGCTTATGTTTTCTTTAATAGGGAATTGTTTATTCTTTAAGCTTTTGGGGAAGAAAGAAGTGCTTTTGAAACCAATGATCATACATGTGAATTTTGTTCATTTCCTTCTGAAAATGTCACTATCCGTGGAAAAGAACAGTTTTACTTAGGGAAACAAGATGTTTATACAGCTCTGATTTCTTGTGCTCTTGAGTCCACTTTTCCCTCACAGCAATACCTTCTTCTTGTTGCTAGTGTTGCTGGAGCCAACTGTCCCCTTCCTTCTGCTTTGGAGCTCTGGTGGTGTAGTGCCAAAGACATTTGACTGCTAACCAGAAGGTTGGTGGTTCAAACACACCAGCCACTCCATGGAAGAAAGACTGGGCAATCTACTCCTGTAAAGATTTACTGCCTTGGAAACCCAAAGGGGGTCGATATGAGTTTAATCGACTTGATGGCAGTGAATTTGGAGTTTTTGAGTTTTATTTCCACTTTGATCAGGTTGACACAATCTACAGGTTAAGTGTGGTGCTGGGTCTAATTGTACAAACTTCTTTAGAAAGGCACTCCCCGCCCCCCATCTTTTTAGTCAGTATAGTGATATGGAAGCCAATCTTCCCAAAGCAATCGAAAAGCAACACCATTGTCCAGGGTTGATATCCCCTTCCAATGTCCAACTTTATTTTTGATTTTGCTTAAAAGGAAAAGCTGAAGAGTAATTGGCCACATTTGTTCTAGTGACATTTTTTTTCCTGATGAGTTGAATTGAATTTCCAACTATCACCAACTATTGTCACTCAATGTAAATGAACTCTGGTGGTACAGTGCTTAAAGCATTTAGCTGCTACCCAAAAGCTCAGTAGTTCAAGCCCACCATCCACTTTGTGGAAAAAAAGATAAGGCAGTCTGCATCTGTAAAGATTTCTAGCTTTGGGAGGAGCTCTGGTGGTATAGTGCCTAACGCATTTGACTGCTAACCAGAATGCCAGCGGTTCAAACCCACCAGCCACTCAGAAGGAAGATTGGGCAAGCTATTTCCATAGAGATACTGCCTTGGAAACCCAAGGAGGGGTTACTATGAGTCGGATCTGACTCAACAGCAGTGAACTTATAGGGGTCACTATTAGTTGGAA